ACCAAAAGGGAAAAAAAAAAAAAAAAAAAAGCAAGGCTGGTTTTTATTTACAAAGCCCTGGACTAATTTTCTTCTGTGGTTCTCTTCCCAATAGAAAAGGAAACAGTTTCTTATTTGCTCATTGGCACAGAGATGTGAAGAGGTTAAAGATCTTTTCTTCCTTAAAGCCCTTCAAACCTAATACAGCTGAGCATACCTTATCTAACTCAGAAGCAGCAATGCTTCAGATTTTAGACTATTTCCATTTTTTACAAGATGAGCATCTCTTAAATTAAAACCTACAACTTTAAATGTTCAGACTCTTCAGATTAGGGAAGCTCTCTTACAAAAGAGATTTTAAAAATGATAAGAGGGGCCGGGCGTGGTGGCTCATGCCTGTTATCCCAGCACTCGGGAGGCTGAGGCAGGAGGATCCTTGTGAGTTCAAGACCAGCCTGGGCTACAAAGTGAGTTCAAGGCCAGCCTGAACTGCAGAGTGAGACCCTGTCTCAAAAAGACAAAAAAAAAAAAAAAAAGATAGGGGGGTATAGCTCATGGTACAGCACTTGCCTGATATGTACAAAGCTCTGTGTTCAAGCCCTCACATAGCCAAATGAGTATTTTTTTAAAAATCTAATAAACTACAGCACGGTAAAAAAAAAAGTATTTTACATGCTTAGTTTCTATGAAAAAACTGAAAGACTACAGAAAAATAATTAATCAGAAAATATAGAAAATGTTAGGTAAAAGACTGCAGTCAAAAAGAACTTTTTGCTAGGGATTCAGCTCAAGTGTCCGCATGGCGAGCGTGAGGTCATGAGTTCAATCCACAGTCCCAAAAACCAACTTTTTTTTTTTTGGCAGTACTGGGGATCGAACTCACGACCTCATGCTTGCCACACAGATGCTTATGCCACTGAAAGAACACTTTTTAAAGCTGGTGGTAACTATACAGGATAAAGCTCAAACAGAAGGGAGGTAACAAAAATGAAAGCCGGTCATGGTGGCACAGGCCTGTAATCCCAGCACTCAGGAGGCTGAGCCAGGATTGCCACAAGTTGAGGCCAGCCTGGACCGCAAAGTGAGTTCAAGGCCAGTCTGAGCTATACAGCAAGATCCTGTCTTAAAAACACATGCGCACACACAGATGAGTAAAGTGGGCCCAGCATGTTATCAGTAGGGACAATGGAGGCTGTGGTGTCCATGAGTACACACTGTTTAGAGGGCAGCTGCTGCCCAGGCCCACAACTGCAGCCCAGTGCTGCCTTGACTTGAAACTCTTCTCAAATATTCACAGAACTGTGAGTTTCACTGAGAAAATACCTGATTTTCAGTGCTGATGACTACCTGGCCCACAACCAAAAACACATCTTTACACTTCTCGACCATTAATGTTAAGGGAAACAAGATACACAAGATGTAAGTATCTTGTATGAGAAATCCAAAGTACAAATAAAGAGAAAAATAACACTATAGAAAACAAGGAGATAGACCTTTTGCAGATAGGAAGGGCACAAGAGATGGAGGGAGGAGGGAAAGGGGTTAGAAAGTGAATTACGATGTGTTGTATACAGGAACTGACTCCCTGTGATGAATGTCATCCTCATACCGTCGACATACCCTAATAAAACATTTTTTTGAATCTCTAAAACAGTTGAGTTCAGAGGCCACCATTAAGCTGGTGTGAAAACTGTTTTCAAAAAGTATTAAGGACCAATGGATAAAAAGCTTAGGATTGGCCAGATACAGGGGCACACACCTGAGGGCCCAACACTCAGAAACTGAAGGCAAGAGAATCCTTGTCAAGCTCAACCCAGGCAACTTATTACGGACCCCTGTCTCAAAATGTAAAACCAGGCTTGGGATCCAGCTCTCTGCAAAGCCCATGGGTTCAATCTCCAGTACCACAAAAATAAGTCAGAGTTTAGTCACCCAGACCTAGGTCTCACACCCTTACCTGCTGTCACAAGTCAGAAAAAGTTTAAATTTCAACTTTAAAACTTTCAATTCTTGGGCTGGGGATTTAGCTCAGCAGCAAAAGTGCCTGCCTTGCAAGGGTGCAGTAGTGAGTTTGATCCCAGGTAAGGATTAACAAAAAAAAAAAAAAAAAAAAAAAAAATTTCAATTCTTAGCTTGAGTAAAAAAAAAAAAGCCTTTTATTTCTTTTCCCAAATTTCCAGAAAGCTTATTTCTGCGACCTATATGGTACAAAACAAAGCATTTAGACAAGATTTTAAATATTAAAAAAAGTCACATTCCAAAATTCATTTCATGGATGACTTCAAATGAAAACATGATGGGATTAATTTATTGCCATAACTCAAATACCCTTGGTTTTTCACACACAAAGAATTTCTTTTTCTTTCTTTCTTTTTTTGGTACCAGGGATCAAACTCACAACCTTGAGCTTGCCAGGCAGAAGCTTGTGCCATTGAGCTAAACCCCCAGCCCCCATCGAGAAAATTTTTAAAAGAAAGAAGTTAATTCGCAGTTAAATTTGTGTTAAAAGCCAGAGATTTAGCTCAGTGGCATAAATGCCTGCCTGGCAGCCAGGAGGTTGTGAGTTCGATCTCCAGGACCAAAAAAAAAAAAAAAAAAAAAAAAAAAGTTAAAAAAACATTCAGCCAGGCCAGCAGACTACTACCTGCATCTGTAGTCCCAAATACTGGAAAACCTTAAGTGAAAGGTACACTTAAGCTTTGAAGTTCAAGACCAGCCAGGCAACAGAGAGAGACCCAGTAGCAGGCAAAACACAACAGAACCAAAAAATTTCACAAACATAAAAATTAGTTGAGGGGTTTTTTATTTGCATTTTTTAAAAAGCAAGGTCTCACTAGTTAAGTTCATACTAGCCTTGAACTCACTATGTAGTCCAGGCTGGCCTTGATGTGGTCATCCTGCTTCAGCCTCGGAAAAAGTATTGGGATTACAGGCATACACCACCACACCCTGCAGAGGGACATTTCTGAAAGAAGCTTTTGCTTATTTAAGCTATTATCTAATAAAAATAGTTCCAGTAAATTTCTAATGTGGTTACAAGTAATAAAGGCTATATTTTGGTACATATCTATACAGACACTGTAAACCCTCAAAATGTTATGGTATCTTCCCACACATACAATATAGGATTGGACATATACCTGAATGCACAAGGTCAACATTCTAAACATGTAATTCACTGTAATTCAGTTGCTTCCCAGCCTAATCAGCTGTACAGTAAGAAAAAATTCATATACAACAGTGATTGACAGGTTAAAAAAGGGAAAGTAATTAAGAGTTTATTAAATACCTGAAAAATGACATGCTTTCAAAGTTAAATTTATATTTCAACAACTTCTCCCAATCTAAACGTGTATTTCTCTCATATGCTGAAACAAATATTCAATTCAAGCATCTCTAATCATATACATACCTTACGAACGACCATATATAGCTCAGGTTAAAGTAGTTTATACAATAAAATTACAAACATACCTACAAAGTCAAAAGTTACAATCTTGATGCTGACTTTAAAATGAAAGGCCTCTCAAAAAAATGAAAAGCTGTTTTCCGAAAAAGTTCTGCTTAACAGAAAGAAATTTACCTTTTAACCAATGTGCAATACATTAAAGACTCCGTTTTGAATTTTAAAACTTTCTGTAAAAAGGTCTTTACCCAGAGTATTCTGTTGATTTACTTATTTTTCAAACACCTACTACATCGTTTGTTTTCATTCTTTAAAAGATGACACTTTATATATATACTACTATTTATCAGTTAAAGCGTCTCATGTATTTGTCTTTTTATTACCTCACGGAGAATAGTATCCAATTGTACCGACAACTCCCAAAGCGAATACAGCTCGGTAACAGGTATACCTGGGGCCACATTTATAACAGAAATGCATACGTTAGACGAAAAGGTCTCCAGCCTCAATTTTTTTTTAAAGTACAGATCTATTAGCAGCTTTTAATCTAAAATCTATACCCAACCAATGAGCATTAAGACCTAGAAGTCTGCCTACATATAGAAGTACCACTCCCAGACCACGGACAGGATATGCTCGGCGGCCCCGCAGTCATCTGTCACATCGGCAAAGAACAGAAGAAGTACGCTACACCAAATATTCTAAACTATCAAAATTAGACATTCATCCAAACCATTCCTTAAATTCTTTCAAAGCGGTGCTTTGAAGCACACTTCTTTAAGTATACTTCCGGGCAAGTCCAAAAAGCCTACCTAAAGTAAAAGCACTTTACGCCACAACAAAATAATGTTACGGACTTTAACGAAAACTGGAACATGTTTTAATTGCCTTCAAAATCCACATCATTAAAAAACTACGCTTTCGGCAAAGGTGACTCCAATGTGTCGGGGGAGGGGGCGCCGAGTGCCCACTGCACCTGCGAGTTACGGAAACTCCAGCCGGCCGCCCGGGACCCTCCTGCCACTCCAAGCGACACCAGCCGGCGCCCTCTTCCTCCTCCTCCTCCTCCGCAGCCCGGCCCCGGGCGACAGCGGGCTCCGGCGAACGCGGACGCGAACACGCCCTCCTCCGCTCTCGCCCAGAGCCCCAGACACCAGGCGCCAGGCAGGCTGGAGAGGAGTCGGCGCGGGCCGGACCGCTACTGCTCCCTGCTGAATCGGGTCGGGCCAGACGGCCGCACTCGGCGAAGAACAATGCCCCAGCCCAGCCGCGGACCGCGCAACTTCCCACGCTTCTGCGCCGCGGTGCCGCCGGCCATACCGATTCCGGAACCGGGCAGGGGCCGGACCGGGCCAAGCCAGGCGCGGGGGGTGGGCGCGCAGGACGCGCCGGGCGCCCGGACCCGGACCCGGACCCGCGCTCGGGCGACCCCGCCGCCAGCACGAGTGGGGGCGGGGAAGGCCTCGCGGAGCGCGGCGCCTGCTCGGGCCGCAGGCGAGCGGACGCGGCCGGGCGCGGGGACAATAGCGCGCGGGGCCGGGCGGCGCCGGGGGACCGACGCAGCCGTCGTGCGGTGCCCGTGGCCGCGGCGCCGGCGCGCGGGGTCGTGCCTCACCTCCCAGCCCCGCCGCCCAGGAGAGGAGCAGAATTAACACTCTCGGCGACACCATCTTCCGCGGCCGCCGCCTCCTCAGGGTTAACAGCAGCACATCGACCCGGGGCGCGCGGCTGAAGGACTGGGTCCGGAGCCTCCGCGGGAAGCCGGGACCTCCCTGGCCGAGAAACGCCAGGCACCTCCTTTCCGCTGCACTTCGGAGGCCGGCGACGCGCCCGGCTCCTCCAAAACAGGGCCGTGCCTCCCCTCGCTCGCTTCCTTCCTCCCTTCCCCGCTTTCCTTCCCTCGCTCCTTCCCTCTTCTCGGCCCCCTCTCCGGGGCCCCGGAGCTCCACCTGCTTCTTCGCCACGTGACGCGCCACCGCCCAACCCGCGCGCCGAGCCGCGCCCCTGCCGCCCGCGCTCCCCTCCTCCCCTGGCGCCCCGGGGCGCTCGCATGCGCACTGGAGCCGCTTCCCGAGCTGCCCGGCCGGCAGCCGCTTCCTGTCCGCCGGCGGGGAGCTAGGATTGGGCTGGGGGCGGGGCTTGGCCATGACCCCGCCCCGACGTCCGCTTGTGCGGCGGTGGGAGCGGTACTCGCGGCGTTGCTGCAAAGCCCGGCGTCCGGAACTGGAGCGGGAGCGGCGGAGGACCGCGTTCCGCAGCCTAACTGCGGGGCGACAGAGGTTCTGGTTTCTTTTTCGATCCCTGGTGCACCTCGGCCGCCGGTAAACAAAAGCTGTGCGCAGGTCACGGAGCGCCGAAGCGCAGACTCCGCGGGCAGCAAGGTGAGGGGACACCGGGCTGACGCTTGCCCGGGGCGCTGGACGTGCCCGCTGCGGACCAGGCCTCGGCCTCCTAATCTGCGCTCCCGCACCTGCAGCTCTCCGCGGCGGGCAGCCTCGACTCCCAGCCGCGCTCCCTGCGCCCCGAGGCGCCGGCTTCTCGGGCTTGATGGATTCCGGGCTCCCGCATTGTAGGAACCAGGACTTCTTGCTAGCATTCAGGTACTCGTCAATTTGCCATCTTGCTTAAGTTGGCTGAGTTAGACAATATAGGTATTAATGTTGTTGGTACTTTTAATAATTTGGGGTTCCTACGGTAAGCTCAAAAACACAGAAATTCCAGAACTGTCCTGATTGATAGTGTCTGTTCATTTCTAATGAAATCAACAGGAAGATGGGAATGTCATGAGTTGATTGTTTTGTTTTATTATGTCAGGGACATAGTCCAGGTTGGCATCAAGCACGCTGTGTATCCCATGCCGGCTTGACAGCCTGGATCCTCCTGCATTAGCCTCTGAGTGCTGGAATTACAGGTATTATTCCAGCCTCCCGACCTTTCACCTTGAAAGATCCCATTTAGGAAACATCACGCTGCATATCTCATGTGCTGTTTACTATTCTTTTGTGGAACTACTCTCACAAATACCATTTTGTTTTGTCAAGTATTGGGAATCGAACTCAGGACCTTGCACCTGCCAGGCAGGCACTATGCCACTGAGGTATATCCCCGGCCCCACGACCACTGTTTCTTTGGATCATTTTATAGCATATTTAGTGAGCTATATCTTTTTATAACTAACCCCAGTGGTTAAGGAGAAATGACACTTTCTTCTTCAGATTCCACTGGAAAAAATTAAAAACTATAATTCTCTGTTACCGAAATGAGGACTGAAAATTACATGTGAATGTCATTTATATGTAAAATGGTCCTGCCAAGTTAGTTTGAACCGCTATTTTGTTGAAGTCTTACGTCACTGTTGATAGTTTGCAAAAGTACCTGAAAGTGATGCATTGTGGGGGGGTATCAGGTGTGCATCCATGCCATGTGCTACAAGATAGTGGACTCCCCTCTCCGCCATGAATAAACCGTGTTACTCTGGCCAAGTAATCCTTTTTTTTTTTTTCCCCTCGAGAGACAGGATCTTGCTATGTAGTTCAGGCTGGCTTTGAACTCATTATGTAGACCAGGCTGGCCTCGAACTCATAGTGATCCTCCCGCCTCAGCATCCAGAGGGTGGGAGTCACCACACCCAGCTTATATTGTCACTGTTCTCTTATAAAATAATGATAAAATGTTTGTCTCCTGCGATTGTTTTGATGATCAAATTCACATTAGTTAACATAATTGCTAAGTGCTTGTTAAGTAGACATAGAAAGATTGTCCTATGAATAGTTGAACATCCATTCGAAAGCAGTACTTGTATTAATAGCATTATGTATGCCTAAGTGCTGCTTTTTGGCTTGGTTTGGTTTATTCGTATATTAGTTGTTTGTAGTGCTAGGGATGGAATCCAGAGCCTGCTCCACTTGTGCGGGCCGCTGAGCTCCATCCACCCCATGCCTACCCTCCAAGTATGGTAATGAGACATTTTATATAAGTGAAATACTGTAGCCATCCATGGTATGTTAGACAGTCCTAGAGAAAAGTACATTTTGCACAGACTTAAGACTTATCCTGGTGAATGCAGGATAAATGTCCATCTCCTACTGAACCACCTGCCTAACTCCTTGTCATGCCTAACTGGGGACTTTAACTTCTTAGCCCTCACGGTGACAACACATCACCCTCAGGAACCAGAGACCAAGAGTGGAATCGTGAGTGTCTTATTCCCTGGTCCACCCATAACCAGGCAACAAAACCAATTTTTCTAAAAATATTTTTGTTCCTTCCCTTCTCACCTCTGCCACCTGGCTATTATTATTCCATTATTCCCAGTGCTTGCACTGCTGCAGGGGCCTCTTTTACTCCTAGTCCTGCTTTTAAACCTCATCTCAACCCGCTGCAGTTTGAGGGCCTGGGATGTAGCCCAGTGACATAGCACCTGCCTGGCAAGGCAAGGCCCTGAGTGATTCCCAGTACCAAAACTAAAAAGAGAAAAAAAAGCTTTAAAAGGTTCACCATCAAGAGGCTGAGGATTTAGCTTAGCAGCATAAGCGCCTGTCTGGCAAGCGCAAGGTAGTGAGTTCAATCTCCCATACCAGAAATAATAGTAATAACAATAAAAGGTTCACCGTCACTGTGATGGTTCACTCCTTAAACTCTCCTTGTTCTCTCCAGATTTTTCTGCTTCCTTTTAAGCGTGTCTTCATCTACATCTCTTGAATGCTCTTACTTTCTTTTCTATGCCCCTTAAGTATTATGATTCCCCAGAATCTTATCCTTGACTTTTATTTCTCATCCTTCACTCACGTGGTTATTTCTTACTACCCTGAGATGTCTATCAGTGTGGTAGACCTGGGTCTCTGTGTCCTGAAGTAAGGCACAACCTTCCAGAGATGAGACCAAGTGTAAGGTTAGGCACCTGTGCCTCAGTGTCTTACAGATGGTTGGTATGAGTGTTAAATAAGTTAATAAATGTGAAGCACTGAGACCTATAGAGAGCATGTAATAAGCCTAAAACTTTAGGTGTTATTTTACATATCTAACACTTGTAAGTCCTTTCCCTGCAGTTACATGGTCACATCGAATTCACTATGTGCCAAAGTGCCCAAATCACTCCATCAATACACTCAAACCAGCTTTTCCTCCTAAATTCCCTAAGTTGCTGTTACAGATGCCAGTCAAAAAGCAAGGTGATAGTAGGAAAAAAAAAAAAAAACTATTATGATGAGTTAGCTAACCAGAAGATGGCTGGATTATTGTTCAAACATCAAGTAAAGAACTTCCATAGGACATTTAAGGAAGTCTGTTTTTAGCCAGGGATAGGTGGGCAACAGGAATGATTCCTCTTGCAATGATCCCTTTCTTTGATGCACATTCTGATACTACCCGAAGGTCAACAAATGTTTCTGGGTGCTGTGAATCGAAGGAAAAATTATGGCCCAGGCATGTGGTACCGACCTGTGATCCCAGCCCTCTGAGAGGCTGAGGCAGGAGGATCACAAGTTGAAGCCCAGCCTGGGCAGTTTAGGAATTTAACAAGATTCTGTCTCAGAATAATAAATGGGCAGGAGATGTAGCTCAGTGTGAAGGCAGAGCTTTAATTCCCAGTAGCACGTACGAGGGGGAGGAGGAAAAGATTGTAGATGAGGAAATTTTATGAGTGATGCTTTTCTAGTTCCTTTTTTCCTTTTTTCTGGGATAGCAGACTCTACTAGTTAATATCTGCATCACTGAAATGTGGATTTTCTTTTTTGGGTGGGGGGAGGAGTACTGAGGGTTGAGCCCAGGGCCTTTGCACTGAGCTACATCGGACTTTTTTACATTTTTGAGGCTGGAACTCACTTAACTCACTAAGTGGCCTAGGCTGGACTCAATCTTCCTATTTTCCTTCCTCACAGATGTTTGGTGTGACTCGTTAAATTTTTTTGCTAAATTATTCAACATTTGAGAGGACTTATGGTGTAACCAAGATTCCACGCTTCCCGTGGAAACTGAAACGTGAGGGAGACCTGGATTCTTGCACAACCTCAAATGGCAGAAACTGAAACATGACAGCCCTCTTTGGACTGGCTTGTCTAATATCACTCCAACCCTGGTTATCTCTGTTTGTTTTTTGTTTTGTTTTTGAGACAAGGTCTAAATTGTTAAGTTGCCCAGGCTGGGCTCAAATTTTTGAAATTCTCTTGCATGCCCACAGCACCTCGCTGCGGTTATTGAGTCAATAAGATGGAGGCGCCTATAATTATGAGCAAAAACGGTTGTAATTCTTACTGCCCGCACAGGAGCAGTGAAAAGCTACTTTACAACAACATGCCCAGTTATTAGCTGGTATTATTCTAGATCAGTGTTTCTCACTGGAATCACCAGTGGAGCACTTGAATACAAATGAGTTAGCAAGGGCTGAAAGCTAGCTGGGCCCAAGGGTGCCCACCTGCCATCCCAGCAGACTGGGAGCCCAAGGAGGAGAATCACAAGTTCAAGGCCAGCCTGGGCAGCTTAGCGACCTAATGGAACCCTGACTCAAAATACAAAACAGAAAAGCCTGGGAATGTTGCTAAGTATGAAGGCCCAGGGTTCAATTCCCAGTATTGAGGGGAAAAAAGGGAATTTCGGCTTCAATGTCCAGGCCATGTTGTCCCAGAAGTCCGGAAGGCTGAGGCAGGAGGAGTAAATAAAAAATAAAAAGGATTGACAGTGTAGCTCAGTGCTCTATGGGTTAGGCTCACGTTTCCCACCCCACGCCCAAAATTACTGAGGGGACTTTGCAACATTGCTGATACCTTAACTTTTTTTTTTTAATCGGTGCCTGGGATCGAACTCACGACCGCCTGCTTGCAAGGCAGGTGCTTATGCCACTGAGCTAAATCCCCAGCTCCGATACCTTGACTTTTGTACAATTTTGTTACAGCAGGATTTCGGGGGCTGAAATCCAGAAATGTGTGAGGGCTTTTCTAGTTATTTTTATTTTGTAGCCCAAGGAACACTGAACCAAAACCTTTGGCCTTTTTGTTTTTTTATATTGAAAGTAGGATCTCATCAAGTTTCCCCAGCTGGCTCAAACTCAGGATCCTCTTGCCTCTGCCTCCTGAGTAATTGGCCAGCTGGCAGAATAACTTCTGAGGAGAGAGGTCCTACTGAAGGAGGTAGGTGTGATGTACTTGACCCCCTCCCCGTTTAACATTAGGGGAGCAGGGATTCTGAGTTGAACATGATGGAAGAGAGTCCATGAATTCATCTCTAGTACAGCCTAGCTGGGTGCATATTCAGGTCCATTTCTATTTTTTTAATTGCTTTTTTTTTTTTTTTTTTTGTACCAGGGATAAAAGTCACGACTTTGTACTTATCAGGCAGGTGCTTATGCAGCTGAGCTAAATCCCAAGCCCTACTTTTAAAAATTTTCATCTTTATTTTATTTATTTATTTATTTATTTATTTATTTTTTGTATCAGAAATTGAACATGGGACCTCGCACTTGCCAGGCAGGTGCTTGTGCCACTGAGCCACATCCTCAGCCCCCCCCCCCCCCGGTCCATTTTTAAAAGGACTACATAAGGAAAATTGAGAGAAAGGTTTCACTGCTACTGTAGCACATTTGGGCTACAATAAAACACAAAAAAAGGTGATTTTCTCCCTGTTCATCACCAGGATAGCCGAGCAGTTGCTAATACAGCATGGAGTAGAAAGCAGCAGCCCCTGGTGGAGGAGCGCAGGACTCGGTGCCTCGGTGCAGGCTGGAAATTCTGTATGCAGCCGAAAGCCCAAGCCTGGCCAAGTTGGGTGCTGGGGAGAACTTTGATTTCAGCTAAGAATTCTCTCCCCTTTGTTGAATAGAAAAATAAAGAAGTGGGTTAAAGCTGTATA